GAAATATCAAATCTAGCAGAAAGAAAAAAAGAAAGAAAGAAAGAAAGAAAATAAAAAAGAAAGAAAAGAAATATCAAATCTAGCAGAAAGAAAGAAAGAAAGAAAGAAAAATAAAAGAAAAAGAAAGAAAAATGAAAAGAAAAAAATAAGAAAAGAAAGCAATCAAATCTAAGAAAGAAAGAAAGAAAGAAAGAAAGAAAGAAAGAAAATAAAGAAAAAAGAAAAAAGAAATCAAATCTAGCAAATAAAAGAAAGAAAAAAGAAAGAAAGAAAGAAAGAAAGAAAAAAAAAAGAAAAAAGAAATATCAAAAGAAAAGAAAGGTAAAGAAGAAAGAAAGAAAGAAAAATAAAAAAGAAAGAAAAGAAAGAAAGAAATAAAAAGAAAGAAAAAAAAGAAAGAATAGAAATATCAAATCTAGAAAGAAAGAAAGAAAGAAAGAAAGAAAGAAAGAAAGAAAGAAAGAAAATAAAAAAGAAAGAAAAGAAATATCAAATCTAGCAGGAAGAAAGAAAGAAATGTCAAACTTCGAAGAAAAAAAGAAAGAAAGAAACGAAGGAAAATATCTAGAAGGAAGAAAGAAAGAAAGAAGAAAGGAATAACAAACCTTGAAGAAAGAAAGAAAGAAAGAAAGAAAGAAAGAAATGTGTAAGAAGCAAAGAAGAGTAATTAATAGATTGCTCCAATAATGAAAGCGGAAAATAAAGAAATCCTAATGACAACATTAAACGAAGAAAGAAACGAAGAATTTGGAAAATTTAAAAAAAAAAACACAGACTTTTGACATGATTTCAAATATATTCCACACAAACAATTTAAAATTCAACAAGAATCTCGATGCTTTCAGGTCACGTGTACAAATAGTTACCAATGTCTCCTTCCACATTTTCTGACCTTCTATCTCGTTATCTTCATTGTACTCCACCTCTCTTCCTTTTGAATATCCCTCCCTCTCGTCCTTTCTATCGCTAATTTTCTTTTAGACATGATCCCTGGCCCAATCTGGAGTCTGTCCCTGTCGAGTAACTGCGGCCTTTATCAAAATAACAGCCCGGTTCCTCCCATTTCGACGTCCCAGTACCGTAATTCTAAGAGTGTTTACTCCCTGATAAGAAAAAATTATCGAACCGGGTGATGACGTCAGGATTAACCTTCTTACTCCAATTCCCACTACAACCACGATTATTCTCCAAGCATTGCCCTAGCACACTTATATGCAAATAATTATATATATATATATATATATATATATATATATATGAGCGAAAGAACAGAAAAAGTAAAATTGTTGTTCGCAGTATTTACTTCTAAAAAGAACTCAATACATGTAATATATATATATATATATATATATATATATATATATATATATATACGTTATTTTATTTTAGATTTTATGATAAAGACATGTTGAAATCGCTACACGATAGCTTTCGTGTTTCGCTACTGCGTTGGACCCTTCAGGCGAATGGTAAAAAGTAACGACACAATACCGAAACAAGAAAGTATTGTGTAGCGATTTCAACATGTTTTGTTCTAACATCTAAAATAATATACATATATATATATATATATATATATATATATATATATATATATATATATATAATATTATATATATGTTATGAAGATTGCACTGTGGGTAATCCCAAAAGGATGAAATCCTGAGAGCTCAATGTAAATCCAGAGCTAATATTTAAAAGAAAAACAGACCACTATAATATATATATATATATATATATATATATATATATATATATATATATATATATATATCTGTGTGTGTATGTATATGTATACATATATGTATATATGTATATATATATATTTACATATATATTTATGTATATATATATATGTATGTGTGTGTGTGTGTTCCGTGTATTTAGGCAATTAAATGTTCTTTAAGACAAATGTTATTAAGACAACAGACATTTTGCGTCGATTAATTTTTATTGATCGACTTTTTCAAAATTACTAGTAATTCTTCGGCTATGAGGAAATTCCGTCAGAAATTGTCCAAAGTTAGTTTCAGAAGAAATAAGGTCTTCTGAAAACGTATATATATATATATATATATATATATATATATATATATATATATATATATATATACATACATATATATATAAGGGTCGTGGACACCTATTTCCTGTCTCGTCGCTAATTTGTGTGTTTATATATCTAAATATGTTTAGATGTTTGTGTATTATAATCTAATTGTGTATTTATTGTCTTTTGCAAGATTTCACCCTCCCTGCCCATATCTTAACTTCAAATGTATATGAATTTTGACGGAGCTCAGAGCAGCATTAGATCTTAACGTTTATTCCAACTTAATTTTTTGGCCTTTTAATAAAAAAAAATAACAAAACATATGTATTTTTCCTCAGTTTCTTCTTTAAATAATCTTATGTTTTTTTTTTTTAATTTAATATTGATTGAATTTAAAATTTAAAATTGGTCATTTTTAATTTTTAATTTTATAGTATAATTTAATAATAATTAGTTAGCATGAATTCTATTTTAGTCTAACCCTAACATAAAATCATTACATAATTATTATAAGCAAAGTTCGTTGTCAAGTTTTTTGAATTTTCATATACTTGTATTTTGATTGGTCATTTCAGCTTATGTAACAGCGTTTCCCCTAGCGAGGATTGATTAGAACTTTTTAAAACCCTTTATTCTACATCCATCACCATCACTTGATAAGACACCAGAAGTGTTGAAACAAAATGGCTATTTTTGTAGTGATTTTATGACATTTTTATTTTAGAATTTTCGAATAAATAATTAAATATTTTATATATATATAAAGAGAGATATAGATAGATAAATAGATAGATAAATTTGATAAAATAGAACTGACAACGTCTGATCGTTTTTTTTTTATTGTCTTTTCCAATTTTTTGATAAGGTATTGGGGAATATGTTACAAGTTGAGGATAAACTGTGGATAAACTGTGGATATAAAATCAAATAGTAAAAAAAAAACGAATTAATTAAATTAAAAATTTAAATTAAATTATAAATAAAAAAAAACAGCGCGGCCTCGTTTGCAATATCCGTTACACATGACGTCACTCTAGACCATTTCAAACGTCCCTCTTCCCAAAGAAAACTAGTATTCAGACAAAGGAAGTCTAACCCCCACACAGACACCCCAATGGTTTCTGATAATGACTATGAAAGTCGAAATTACTTGGACAAAAATATCAAAATATGAACACCGTACAGTTTATCCACACAAGGTTCAACAACTTATCTGAAAATTGGAAAAATACAATAAATGAACAGACAGATCTTCTTGGTGCTTTTTAATCAAACTTGGATGAATACTTACTGCATAAATATACCTGTTACATACATACATACATATATATACGTGATTTTTTTATGTAGTTCACTGCTACCAGCAAGCAGAAATTTATCTCTTGATGATGACCATGATGGTCGAAACTAGTCGAGGAATCCAAATGAAATAATAATAATAAAAAAGAAAGAATATTAATCTACAATCCAGTGTGTCTGAAGATTTCATTTTTTTAATTTTTTAATATTTTTTATTGTTCAAAATATATATATACCCTGTTCCTTTATTCTCTTTTCTCCTCACTTAAGTCAGCACATTCTCTTTCACTTCCGGTAATCCCTTATGTCTTTGTGGCATTATGCCTTGCATGTTTTGAAATGATTAAAAAAAAAAAAACTGAGCACATTACCAGTCCACTCCCCATATCTCGGTTAAACGCCGGATAGATATTCATTCATGTGTGTCCCGGGCAGTTATACCTGACGAGACCCATCTCTCTCTCTGTGTCAAACAACAGCTGATGCCCTCCCACTTGAAGGCTCACTTTGGCCGTTGATTCCATCGGAGGAAACTTTCTCACTGGCCATTGATTTAATTCTAGGAAGCCCTCCGCCTAACGATGCCATGTCATCAGCGAATAAGCTGTATAAGGACTATTAGAGGCAGTCTACCCCACTGTGGTAAAGCCATTGACCCTACAAGAAGACTCATCCACCTTTGACAGGTCTTGTTTGTCATCCTGCTGGATATATAGCTACCTTCTGTTACTCATACATCCCCCCACACTTTTTTTTTCGCTGCGGAAATTCGCGTTGTTTTGATTTTGGTCTTCCCTCATACCATTAATCATTTCAATTTTTAATGTTTTAATTGTATGTTGCTTTTGTGGAGTAAATGTATCTTTGCACAATTATTAATCTGTTCCCAGTCGACCCTTGATGAGCTTGGGAACGAAACCGGTTGGTCTGTCTTGTAAGTGTTTTCATTTCTTATTTTTATTTTCATATTTCACAATGCCTATAAGAAACAAATTATATTTTTTTTGCAATACATTTTTGTACGTCTCAAAAATATATATATATATATATATATATATATATATATATATATATATATATATATATATATATATATATATATATATATTATTTTTAATAGGATCCTCTCTCGTGATTACGGACAAGTTTCTATGTATCTTTATTAAAAGAAGAAAGAAAATTACTATGTTGATGCATATTCATTTTATTCTTTCGACATTAGCGCAATGTCATCGTCAGGGTGTAGTTTTTCTAAGACAAAAAATCGTTGTGTTCATCTAAAAATTAAACTTTTACTTGAAGTGGAAAATGGTAAGGTTATGTATCGTACGGTTTTTAAGTTTTATGATGTAAACTTCAAGTGAGTTAACTGACTTAATGAAGTGTTTTCAAAAAAATATTAAAAACTATTAGTCAAAACCTAGATATTTTAAACTATCTACTGCAAACATTTTAAAACATCTGTGCGATATTCATAATTAAATTTTGTTAATGGTTGGTTTCATTTGTTAATATAAATAGCTTCAAGAATTTTGAGTTCATGTTTATACTTTTATGAAAATTATAGATGCATTTTTAACGATAATCTTCTTAAATTGCGAATGTGGACAGTCATACTGTTGTAAATATTATAAAAATACACACGTACACACACACATATATGCACGTGTTTATCGTTGCTTAGAGATCATCTATGTAAACATTCACAGACTGTCATCACTGTCTTGTTCGTATATTGTTTAATATGTTGTAATTGACATCTTTGATAATGGCTTATGTAAGCCGAAAGCTTAGATTGGATTAAAAAATATGTACCAATATTGTGAATTTCTTTCTTCGTTCAATTATGATGTTATTAGACTTATTAGACGTTATGAAAAGAGTTTACATAAAATAAATAGACAACACTTGTCTATATTATTTAATGAAACGTGTATGAATATATATATATATATATGTGTGTGTGTGTGTGTGTGTGTGTGTGTTTATGTTAAAATTCTTAGAATATATCTGAAGACAAATTGAATAAAATAGACAATCGGAAAATAGCACTTAGTCCATGTCACGCGAGTCGTCGTTCTTTATAAAGGCAAGTGATGATAAACAAAAGCGAAATTCAAAATATTTAAAAGCCGTCCCTGTTTACGCTTCTATATATATATATATATATATATATATATATATATATATATATTTTCTCCCTGAATCGATACTAAATATAAAAACAACCATTCGCCCTTGCATGGAGTATTGCTGCCATATATGGGGCTGGAGCACCTTCTGCTTACCTCGGAGTTCTTGACAAGATCCAGAGACGGATATGTAATCTAATTGGCCCTGGATCTAAAGGTCTTGTCTGCAGTCACTCTCCTCAACAGACGCGCCGTCGCCTCTCTGTCTTTTTTTCTACAAATACTTCCATGGTAACTGCTCTGATGAGTTGCTCTCTCTGGTTCCCAGACTCCATGAATTCAAGCGCCCTACGAGGCTGGCATCCCGCTCTCACCCTTACACCGTAGAAACCTTCAAATATAGCCGTCTCTTTCTACTCCAATAGCTTCATACCTCGCACTTCTCGCTAGTGGAACACCCTCCCCAATTACTGTTTCTGAAAGCTATAATCTCCAACTATTCAAATGTAATGTCAATCGACATCTCCAATTACCTTAATCTACCCACTATCCTTCTCCTCTTCCTTTCTCCTATCACTCTTATCTGCTCTCGCTCCAAATCTTCCGCAACCCACTGCATCCTAGTGGCTTCACGCCTTGCTTGGGGCACAATGCTTTAAAATATATATATATATATATATATATATATATATATATATGTATGTATGTATATATGTAAGAAATTCCGAACAACGAGAAATTAGATTGTGCTCGGGTTTTGCTAATAATATGATCCTCACCAGAATCTACACCGTCCACAATAATCCATCCATCGGTGAGTCATCCCCATTTCTCTGTATTTTGTTTGCGTCATTCATGAAAGACAGAGGCGTTCCGGAAAATTCCGGACCTAAAACCTTTCTTTCCGCACTTCATTTCTGTCATATGGATAATAATTAATATTTAATAACTGTTGTCTTACTATTCATATTGGTACCCTTTCGTTTCTGCTTGTTTTATTAACCAAACTATCTACTTATATAAATATATATTATGTATTCTTCCTCTTGGAATTTTTATTCTACCTGGATTCTTCCTCTTGGAACTTTTATTCTAAAATATACATGTATGGGTATTTATATATTTTGCATATGTATGTATATTTACTACTAATATTATCTATATCTATCTATATATATATATATATATATATATATATATATATATATATATATATATATATATATTATATATATATATATATTAATCCTAAAAAATAAAAAAATAACTCCAGTTTCACTCACAGAAAAAGAGGAATATTTACTCCTTTCTTGAACAGTTCATCGCAATTATAAGTTTCTGAACATTGCATTTAACATGAAATCCGGAGTCGTACTATCGACATCAGGCAATATGTATATTTATTAATACACACACACACAGACACACACATACACACACACACACATATATATATATATATATATATATATATATATAAATGTTTATATATCTCTGATAAAAATATCGTTTTAAAGTTATGCCATAGTTATGGGTAAAAATGTTCAATATCCGTGATAAAGAGTCTGTAAATACAAAAGATAGATAGATAGATAGATAGATAGATAGATAGATAGATAGATAGATAGAATGAAGGAAGGAAGGGAGGAAGGAAAAGACATAGATAGATAGATAGGTAGATAGACAGACAGACAGGCAGACAGACAGACAGATATAGAAAGAGAGAGGAGGGAGAGAAAGATTTCCGTGTATTCAAACGTGAGGAGAATGATAAAATAATTTTGGTACTACTATCAGTAAACGTTTGCTACTAGAATTATTTTTGGGGGGCTTGAACTTTTATCTTCGGCCATTTGCTGTCAGAATGCTGACTTACATTATAAGGTGAAAAAAGAAAAGCCAACAAATGTTGTTATCCTCTGAAGTACAATACTGATAGCCAGTTTTTGGTATCAGTAAAACCACCATTAAAACTATCGCCCTCACCGTTGTCGTTATCAGAGATGCCTTAGCCATTATCCCTTTTGTTATGTGTCCTGAAACCTATTCTGGTGCAATCCTTATAATTCACCAGTCGACTTCAAAATTTAAAAAAAAGTAAAACATAAAAAAGCGTCGTGCGCTGCCATCGAAAAGCCGGTTGTGTCGGTCGAAGAATTTAGAGAAACTGAATTCACTAAAATTCACAAAATACCTAAAAATCACAGGCAAATAGCTTTTATATTGTAATAGTCATCATAATCATCCGACCATTGTTGGAATCATTGAGCCAATGCGAACGATCCTTTCTTTTAGCTGTACAGTATGAGCTATGCCAGGGCTACATATCGTTTTGAATTCAGAGTTACTTTTCTCCAAAGTTAAAGAATCCTGTCTGTCTTGCTATTTACTCATAGCGGGGATCGGGGTGAAGAAGAGGATTCATACCATTACCAAGGGTGTTTATTAGCACGTAAATAATAGACCCGACTGTATTCTTCGATTCCTCAATCTCTATAGTATGTGCTACGCAAGAGCTACAGACTGTTTTAGATTCAGAGTTATTTTCTCCTAGACCGGCTACCAACCAATTCTATAGAACATAATGATCATAGTTTCATAGTGATCAGTGACATAATTCTCCCAACATGCTTCCCTAATACCTGGGGTAAAAATCAACAGTTTAATTTTCTTGTCATATGAGTTAAAATATCCAAACCTTCTTTGTTCATCATCATCGTTTGTCAACCGCAGCTGGGTCAATCGAACCAAACGGAACTATTCTTTCCTTTAGCTGTACAGTATGAGCTATACCAGGGCTACATATAGTTTTGAATTCAAAGTTACTTTTCTACAAGTCTTAAGAAAACAGCCTGTCTTGCTATTTACCCATAGCCGGGGCGTGGGAGAAGAAGAGCATTCATATCATTCTATAGTATGTGCTACGCAAGAGCTACAGACAGAGTTATTTTCTCCTAGACCGGTTGCCATCCAATTCGATAGAACCCAGTTTCATAGTGATCAATGCCATAATTATCCCAACATGCTTTCCAAATAATCGAGGTAAAAATCCCCCTGGTTTAATGTTCTTGTCATCTTGGTTAAAATATCCAAACCTACTTTACTCCTCATCATCGTTTGTTGACCGCAGTCGGGCTCATCAAACCCATGCAAACGACCCTTTCTTTAATCTTGAAAAATTTAAACGCACGATCGATCGCCATTTTCTGTTATCTTGAAAGCCGTTCATCTTTTAAGCTTTTCTTCAATCACCATATACACACTTTGTTTGTCTCACCTTCCCTCTATGTAACCCCTGCGAAGCAGTAACACTCCCATCTAATTTGGGATAAAATGCTTAAAAAAATAGCAACTTAGATGGTAAAGCGAGAAGATTGATTTTTGCTTTTGACGAGCAACGAAAATAAAACGATTCAAATATACCATATATGCTCGTGTATAGTTCATTTTTTTATTGTCAGATTTTGACGCAAATTTAATTTTAAAGAGGTTAAAATGATGCATTTTAAAATAATGCATTGTCAACTATACATATTTTTCTGGGGGTGAATGCAAAAAATTTAGGGGTCGTACTACAAATGAAGTCGTCTTATACGAGGGTATATACCGTAAGTGTTTTGGCTATCAAAGGCAAAAAGGACTGGTTAAGGCAACGGGCCTGTGTGAACGGATAGCGGTAAGTGGGGTGAGAAGTTTGTCAAAGTGAAAAAACGTTGCTAAGGTCTACAAGAGATAAGAGATTGTGGAGAGACATGAACGTTCACGTCCTTACGGGACACGGTACAAAGACATAGATTAGATTTTTGAATAGTATTTCAGGAATTTCTTTTATTTTTTTTGGTTTTATAGACAGCACTTCCTGTGTCGGTAAAGTTGAAAATTAATATATGCTTAATTCGTAGAGGGACATCCCACCCAGGCAATACTTCTCCTTTGGAGTAAGGTGGATGTCATCAACCGGGGTCTCTTCCGCCCCCAGAAAGGGGAATGCAAATATTTCCACGGTATTGCCGGTAAACCCACTTTAAATCTAGAATTTCGCGGAGGAAATATCGAAAGCAAAAAGGACGGGGTAAGGCGACAGGCTATTTACCTGGTGAACTTGGGTGAAGGGATGATAGTATGTGGAACGGGGAGGGGGGGCTTGTTAAAGGGACAAACCCACTTTAAAACTAGACCTTGTGTCACATTCGTTAGCGCCGTGGGCGCATTGAAAAATCCTACACCTTAATAATCTTCTTCTTCTTCTCTGTGCCGTGTCCTTTAGGAACATTGATGATCATTTCTCTCCCCAATTTCATATCCTTTGTAGCTCTTAATAACTTTTGTCTTTTTTAATCTTTCCAAAGCACTGCTTCGCTTTCCAATCGCTCAAGACCGCCAGGTAGACTGTGTATTGATTTCCTCTAGCCCTCTTACAATCATTCTATCCTGTGAGTTTCAAATTTTCCAAGCAATCTTTCCTCATTGTCTTCCCCGGAAATTTCAACAGTTTCTCCCTGATGTTAAGAATTTAACCTTTTATTTGCCATTGTCTCTAGAACTTCGTCGTTGCTCACGATTTTGGTTGATTATATTCCCAACATCTTTCTGTAGAACCATATTTCTGTTTCTTCGCGTATCTTCTACACCTGTGAGGAAATTATCCAGCATCCACTGCCATAGAAGAGGACTAATATTACATAACAGTTCAGTACTCTATGCTTTGTTCTTATCGCTTAGCGTCTTTAAAGCATATCCCCCTCCCCACTTCGATGCCCTCTTTGTCTTTCTGAGGCTGATTTTCCGTCGTCTATTATTACATTACCCACATATATATTTCTAGAGCTTCTTGATTTGGATCTTCTCACTATGTTGCTCCCTGAAATTTCGAACCAGATGGAAGAGCCTAGACTGAAAAGTGTTTCAGACATTCGCAGCCTGGGCCTGGATTGGTCATAGCTGCCGAGTCCGTGGAAGACAATTCAAATTTCTTCTTCTTCTTCTTCTTCTTATTTACTCACTTCAGGGAAACGACAAGGGGTTGTCCTCTTCCAGGATACAAAGACCAACTCATAACAACATTGAAAAAAACTGGACTTGAACATAAATTATTGCTGCTGATGACAGTCCTCAAATGATGTGGTTTCTGTTATTTGCTACAGTTCTTTGTTCGTGATTCTGTAGCGCCAGTTCACAATGTTCAAAGAAAGAGCGATCTTTGCCAATATATAATAGTCAGTCAGTATTAACAACATTTACCGACCTGAACGTCCGAGAAATTTTCATAGAAAATAGAAATATGTATCCTCCGAATCGAGCCTGTATTCTACACGGAACCGTCATATAGCCTGACGTGCTATACCAGTTTAGCTACAGAGGAACGTTTGATTAGCAAGGTCGGTTTTACTGCTTCTAAACTATATAAATAATGTATAACAATTAAATATATTAAAATATATATGTGTATGTATATGCGTATGTGTATATATGCGTTCAATTCTTATTCAATATTCAACTTTTATTCAGTGAGCTTACTTCACTTGATTTGGATGTTCTCACTATGTCGGCTCCCTGAAATTTCGAAAGTGTTTCAGACATTCGCAGCCTGGGTCTGGAGTGGTCATAGCTGCCGAGTCCGTGGAAGACAATGCAAATTTCTTCTTCTTCTTCTTCTTCTTCTTCTTCTTCTTCTTCTTCTTCTTCTTCTTCTTCACGTCGTCGTCGTTGTCCTTCTCGTCGTCGTCGTCGTTGTCGTCCTCCTTCTTCTTCTTTTTCTCCTCGTCGTCGTCGTCCTTCTCCTCCTCCTCCTCCTTCTTCTTCTTCTTCTTCTTGTCCTCCTCCCCCTTCTTCTTCTTCTTCTGCTGCATCTTTCTCTGCTGCTTCTTCTTCTCCTCCTCCCCCCTTCTTCTTCCCTTCCTCCTCCTCCTCCTCCTCCCCCTCTTCTTCTTCTTCTTCTTTTCACGTCGTCGTCGTTGTCCTTCTCCTCCTCCTCCTTCTTCTTCTTCTTTTCACGTCGTCGTCGTTGTCCTTCTCATCGTCGTCGTCGTCGTCGTCCTTCTTCTTCTTCTTCTCGTCGTTGTCGTCGTCCTTCTCCTCCTCCTCCTTCTTCTTGTCCTCCTCCCCCTTCTTCTTCTTCTTCTTCTTCTGCTGCTGCTGCTGCTTCTTTCTCTGCTGCTTCTTCTTCTTCTCCTCCTCCTCCCCTTCTTCTTCTCTTCCTCCTCCTCCTCCTCCTCCTTCTCTTTCTTCTTCTTCTTCTTCTTCTTCTTCTTCTTGGTTTGTTTTGGTTTACGACATTCCAACCTCAATGACGACAAGATTTTTATTGTTGCTATTTTTTTTTCCTTTTCAAAAATTTACTGCTGGCAATAATTTTTTCACAAAAAGTATTGCTTTATATTAAAACCTATTTTTATACTTTCATAGTGTTTTGCTTAAAAAAAAAGTCTGATTTTCATATTAGTCTTTGAAATCCTAACTACTTGTTAATGACACTTTGTATTATAGAACTAGGTCAGTGCGCGAATTGGACTCAAAGTGAAGGATAATTGACAATTTATTTACTATTTACACATTCGTTTTTGGTTGTTTTGGGTTTTCTTTTTTTTGCCTTTGCCGAAGCTGTTAGGATTTCCGCTCACTAATCCCTGACAGAGATCAGTCCGTCATGTACGAATAGAAAAGAGAATATTTATTTTGTAAAAATTACAAAATGATTTTCTAAGCGTAGCTTAGATGTGGCACAAGGCCGAAAGTACAGCTCGAACCCACTATTCAGACATAACAGTCTTCGTGAGACAAGATTGCTAACCATTGCACCACGCCGAGATGTCCCGAAAGAATTTCTAAGCGTAGCACAATGGCGAAAGGATGAGAGACCCAGCGAGGATCGAACTCATTATTCAGTCGTAACTGTTTCAGCGAGACAAGCACGCTAGCCATTACACCACGACGAGATGCCCGGAGTGAGATTCTAAGCTTAGCTTAGATGTGGCACAAGTGCGAAAGTAGAGATTTACTTGACGCCCCCCCCCCCG